GTTGGTGACAGTGATAGGATTATATAGGAGATAAAACTCTGGCAGGGAGCCAACTCATTTGTTCAACTGATTATACTTGTGAGAGACTGGGAGGCTAGAATACAGAGATTGTATAAAAATAGCAATTATAGGAGAAATACAGGATAGAGCTGGATAGAATTCAAATTAATTTCATAAACACAGATCAGTTACTATGATATATGATTCATGTCTTCAAGAAAATTTACAATATAAAGATGGGGCAACCATGTACATAGTTAAATGGAGCCCAAGTTCTTCTTGGACTCACTTCATGCACACCTTCAGACCAGGCCACTCAGTATTGTTGAGAGTATTGCTTAGAAACATAGACTTACTAAAGGCTTAATCGGAAAACAGAGGAGGGAGTCAAACAGCAAAAGAGCCTAAAACTCCACTCTTTCTGCAAAGTTTTTCTTGTATAATTTTGCTTTATTCTTTCTGGTTCTTGTTCAGGATCTCCTCAGCAGTCTTTCTATCCACCTTGCTAAGGTCCCCTTTTCCCCTTCCCCCTTCTTAAAATCCAGACAGCTTGCATAAGTTTCTTGGCAAAGCAAAATCCGGTTGTCAGCCAAACTATGACCACCTATTTGTTCCTCAAGAACATTGTAGGATAGGGATGTGAGTGGGGAGAATGGCTCAACTTTTATGCCACAGATATTTTTGGAAAATGGAAAATAATCCAGTATTATTAGAGTTTGTTTCATGGTGGGGTTTAATTGGAAATAAATCTGAAAATTAGCTCACGGCATGATTAGCCTCGAATGCCATTCCAAACAGTTTTGTTTTAAAAGTCAATGGAAAATTTTGAAATTTTTTGAACGGAGATGTTTCATGATCGTATTTGTATTATAGGAAGATAACTCTGGGAACAATATGAGAAATGAATTAGAAAAATACACAACTTAAAAAAGGAACATAGCCTGCAGGTATTTCGAAGGTATTCAATGAGGAGGATATAAAATAGAGTATTGGGGGGCCGGCCCGGTGGCGCACTGGATAAGTGCGCTGCTTGGGAAGCGCGGCGGCGCTCCCGCCCGAGGGTTCGGATCCCACATACAGACCGGTTCCCGCTCACTGGCTGAGCGAGGCACGGGAGCAACACCGAGGGTTGCGATCCCGTTGCCGGTCCCGGAAAAAGACAAAAAGGCAAAAAAAAAAAAAAAAAATAGAGTATTGGAAATGATGTGGAGAAAACAATTTCTAGATACATTTTTTTTTTCCTTTTTGTCTTTTTCCGTGTCCGGCAACGGATCGCAACCCTCAGTGTCGCCCCCGTACCAAACCCGGACCCCC